ATTTTGTCATTATTAGTTAAAAATCTTGAGCTGTTCGCAGTGCAAGTAGACCTTGAGCACTGACGGCCCGCCCGCTCGTGTAGGCCCATTGGGAGCGCTTCAATTTGCCTCACTTAGCGTGTGCGGACTAGGTTTCTATGCGTTATTATTCTAAGCATTATTTATGCAATAAAAATCCGTTGGTATATTTGACATTATATTGACTTAATTCTGTTAAAAAAAATTTATTTGTCTATGACAATTCCATTCACTTCTTTTTCTTTCATCTACCACTTTACTCGTTATAGTGAGGTGAAAAGTTGTGTGTCTCGCTCGGCAGCAAAGTTGTTTTGCGTCTCGTGTCATGAAACCCTGGCTGCGCTCAGGATTCTATTTTTGAACTCCCATAGTATTTATTATTTATTTGTTGAGCATTGGCTATAGAGCCATCAGCTTAAACAAGCAATAAACAATTAAGAAACTCAAAACGTAATAATAATTAAACTAAAAATTAATTTGTGAAAAAACTGTAACTACAAAAACCCGCCATTTGAAATAAGTTTTGCCAGAAAAAGTGAACTCTCTTCGCTTGCTCAGGTTTCAATACAAGCACTCGAGCCAAACAACAACTTTGCAGTCTTGTATAACAATTAACTATTTCAGATAAATCTGTCTCTAAACAGATTTTTACGTTGCAATTTTTAAACGTTTAACTTTAATTTACATGCCGAATATATTACTACCTAACGCTGTACACATAAAAACGAATAGCTCAATAATTAAAACTACTTACACGGTTTTCCTGCAAAAATATACGAAAAATAAATAGCAAATAAATACTAAACGTAAACAATGCTCGTAAGTGAAACAAGTTAAGATTACAATGAAACTCTAAAATCAAATAGATGTAAAAATTTGGTGGTCAAAGTTTCGGAAGTGAACGGTTAAATAAGAATTCAGTTTCATTAGTAACAAAAGTATGGTTATATAATTGTAGTCCGTCATACTATCGGTTGTTCATTACAACCAATCACCTGGTAAGGAGTGAATGTACTTTACCAAGCTTACCACGTTAATCCGTAATAAAAGCATGCCTAAATTGTAACCATTTAATATACCGACACACTTAATGAAGGCGTGCAATTAATTTATGTTTTTTGGATAAAAAGAGAGAAATTCCGATAAAATAACTAAAAAATACAACATTTCACGTAATAAAACGAACCAAGCACGTATTTGATAGCCATTTAATAGGTTCGGTAGTACTGACGCCATCATTGATAAGCTACCATATTGAATCAACATCAGTAGCATAAGCACAAATGTAAAATTTCATGCACATTTTCAGCAATATTCATTTATGTTTCATTCATCCATCACTCATGGCATACACGCCACGCGCTTTCCTGCAAGTTCCACAACATGAGAAGCCACATGTTCCATTGCTGCATACAAATCACTTAACACCGCCGTGAGGATTAATTAAATACTCATCCAAAAAGTTTTCTAAATTTTAATACAAAAAATGTTTGTTCTAAAATTAAATATGCGTAAATTGTATACAAACATTAATTGAAATTGTTGTTTTCTAATTTTATTTAATACAAAATTTCAATTGTTGCAGACGGTGTAACTGTCTATAACTCTGTTTAAGGTGTGCGCGAAATATTCTTGAAATCAATGGAAAAATTAAATGGGCACGGGGTACTTATGTTTATACACACTTAAATATTGTTAATTAACAATGTAAACTGACGAAGATTATTAACAGTGATGTGCATTATAATCACGCTTTGTTCAGGAATGGCCGTTTGTCAGCCCAAGCGGAGGGCCCGTCGCGGCGAAAAAGCAACCTCCATAATGCCATGACTGCCGAAATCGACTCTTCCTGGGGTGAGTTTTAATTTATTTATATAATTTCGCCAATTTCCAACATTGTACTTATTGTTGGAAGCTTAGAATAATAACGCATAGAATGATAGTTTCATATCAAACGAACTG